ATTTAAGTAAAATCATTTGACTTACCCTCCTATTGAAGAAGATGATGGTTCCCCATTTTTTGCTGCAAGACTCGAGGCATGAACTCTATATTTTGCTGGTAAAGCTGTGAAGCGTTTATAGCAGTTGACGTGATACAATTGGAAGTCATTCGACTGGGCTGGCAATATAACTTCTTTTCCAAGTAAATTATTGTTCTGACGAACTGTTAATATTTCAGTACATTTTTTTAGAAATTGTTCTGTAAACGATAATAATTTTTCTTTTTTTTTGCGAAAAACACAAAAGTATGCCCCGACGGCGTCGCTTCACTTTCTATTCTGGCAGCGTCATCGTAGTAGATCTCACTCGAACGAAGGCTCCAAACTCACTGATATGGTCAAGATCAATTCATACAAGGTGCCCCTCTGTACGCAAGACGTCACAAGGGGATCAAATTTTTGCTTTCCCTTGAGCAATTGAACTGTGTGTCTATGTCGTCGGTGTGTAAAGTAAACGCTGTTTGTTGTTGTCGCTGTTTGGATGTTGTCGCCCAGCTGTTTGTTAAATTTTGCCAGAAAAGAATAACGGACCTACGCAATGTGCAACCTTGTACATATAAACCTTGTGATATGGCGGCTTCGTCTCTTTGTTATAGATAAAAAGGAAAACGCAAATATAAATATACCGCAAGACCTACGCGCGTAAAATTCGCGACGATTGAAAACTCTTGTAGATTTAACATTAATAAAGTAGACATTATAAGTAATCTGCTACCGTAACATGCACGTCACTTGTACGAGTAAATACGTGTAAGTTTAGATACATTCTTTCAGTTCGGATGAAAATTGGTTACATGATAGTTCACATATCACTTTAAACCAAAAAAAAAAACGTTCAGCTGACTGTATGCGGGCGGAAAGACCTTCAGTTGACGTATTAAAGTTACGCGTGCGCTGGGAGCGACGCTCATATACCTGCTTTCTGCGTTACACCTTCACTGCCTCAGCTGAACGTTTTTCCACCCACATACAGCCAGCTGAACGTTTGTTTTGATTTAAGTATGATATCCACTATCACCTGACCAATTTTCGTGCGAACTAAAATCATAAATTTTTTTTAATTTGGTTTTATGTTCACCTGAGCAGCTGAAGTATAACCCACCCACATACAGCCAGCTGAACATCGTTTTCTTATTCTTTACTATACACTCTATCATTCATATCATTTCTAGTAAAACTGAAATAATTAAATTTTTTATTTTTTTTGTTTGCGTGGTGGGTAGCCCAACCCACCCGTGGTGCCGCAGCGGAACGTTACTAGGCTTTATAGGAGCATTATAGGATGAATTCAAACGAATATGAGCAAAACTAAAATTGGTCGCAAAAATCTGTCGCTGGCTCGCGGACTATTATGGTCCTACAAACAGAAAATACATTGTCTATAAATATTCTTAACATGTAAAAATGTAGCAGAGGCACACAACTAAAATACCATAAGAACCAATACACTGGTTCTTATTTTATCTTTTGTAAATATACATACGGCTGCTGTGGTGTAGTGGTAAGCAGTGCGCGCTTTCACTCACCAGCAGCTGGGCTTAAGCTCTGGTCGAAGCAACATCGCAAAAAAATTTAGAAAAAGGTTTTTTCTTAACAGCGGTTGTACCTCGGCAGGCAATGGCAAAACTCCCAGTGTATTTCTGCCATGAAAAGCAGCTTCTCATAAAAATACAATCGCCGTTCGGAGTCGGCGTAAAACTGTAGGTCCCTCCTCTTTGTGTGACAACATCAAGGCACACGCCACAAATCGGAGGAGAAGCTCGGCCAAACACTAACATATGTGTAAGCGCCAATCTATTATTATTATTAGACACACACGCATATGTAGATACATATACAATTAGTTAGGAAACATAATGTAAGTAAATCTATACTAATTATATAAAGAAAAGTCCCTTTTATTTGTAACAGGTAATCTCGCGAACGGCTGGTCAGATTTTCATGAAATTTTGTATACAAATAGCTTTCGGTAACCACCATGTTTTAGGCTAAAAAAAATTTAACTTTTTTCGGGTAGGTGGACCAGGGACCGGTCTATTCGAAAATATCTTATTATAGTCCGATTTGCTTAAAATTTAGTACGTAAGTAGCTTTTTAGCATATATTAGCATATATGACCCATTTTTTCCGGGAAGTGGTCCAGGGACCGATCTATTCGAAAAAATCAAATTTACGGTCCGATTTGCTTAAAATTCGGTGCGCAGGTAGCTTTTTAGCGTGTATTAGCATATGTCATCAGTTTTTTATGAGAAGTGGACCAGGGACTGATCTATTCGAAAAAATCGTATTTACGGTCCGATTTGCTTAAAATTCGGTACGTAGGTAGCTTATTAGCATATATTAGCATATATGATCCAGTTTGTCCGAGAAGTGGACCAGGGACCGATCTGTTCGAATAAATCGTATTTATGGTCCGATTTGCTTAAAATTCGGTACGTAGGTAGCTTATTCCCTGGATAAGCTCATAGATTCCTGTTTTCCAATTTTCATGCAATTTCGAATATAAATAGCTTTAAGTAACGACCATATCAAGGGGCGAATTCGTCACTAGGCAAGATTTGTTTGCGCCAATCAGAAACAACGGATACTGTCAAAATATAATTATAATATATAATATATATATATATACTAATATATATTTAGAAAGCCGTTTGTTAGTTTTCGCAAGGCTCGAGAGCGGCTGAACCGATTTTTTTGAAACTGCCACCTGCCGCACGTGTCCCAAGGATGGTTTTAGGCTGAAAAAAAATCTATATGTAAAGGGGGCCTGGCACTTCCCATACAAACCGAATTTCTCATGCTACATATCTCTGAAAGTGTAAATGGTAGAGTGTTGGAAATTGGTATGGAGATATGCGAAATCAATCGCATACCCTTGGAGAAAAATTTTAGCCATTGTAAAAACGGGTGTGACATCTCCCATACAAACCGAATTTTTCATACAGCTTATCTCTGGAAATTTTTTAGTAGAGCTCTAGAGTTTTGTATGGAGATGTACGAAATAAATCGCATACTCTTGGATAAAAATTGGAACTATTGGAAAAGGGGGCGTGGCATCTTCCATACAAACCGAATTTTTCATACTGCCTATCTTTGGAAGTGTTCATCGTAGAGTTCTGGAACTTGGTATGGAGATATACGAAATCAATCGCATACTCATGAAGAAAGAGGGCAGCTGTTGGAAAGGGGGGCGTGGCACCTCCCATACAAATCGAATTTTTATACTGCATATCTCGGCCGCTGTGGTGTAGTGGTAAGCAGTGCGCACTTCCACTCCACAATGCCTGGGTTCAAACCCTGGTCAAAGCAACATCGCAAAAATATAGAAAAAAGGTTTTTTCTTAACAGCGGTCGTCCCTCGGCAGGCAATGGCAAACCTCCGAGTGTATTTCTGCCATGAAAAACAGCTTCTCATAAAAATACAATCGCCGTTCGGAGTCGGCGTAAAACTGTAGGTCCCTCCGCTTTGTGTGACAACATCAAGGCGCACGCCACAAATCGGAGGAGAAGCTCGGCCAAACACTAACATATGTGTAAGCGCCAATCTATTATTATTATTATTATTATCTCTGAAAGTATTCATGGTACAGTACTGGAACTTCGTATGGAGATATGTATATAGTTGAAATCAAGCCCATACTCATGGAGAAAATTTGGGCTATTTGAAAAGGGGTGTGAGGCCTACAAACGTACCGACCTTTAGCTATCTTTGAATGAATATTTTTATTCTTCTGTAGGTGTGTTTGTGAGTGAAATCCTCCTAAATGGTTGTACGGATTTTAACGAAACTTTTTGTGTATTTGAGTGGGACAGTTGGCGCTGTAGTTGAGTTATTACTAAAAATCTTATTTATGATCCGATTTGGCTAATGTTTTAAATATGTATGCAATACTATTGCAAAAACGTGCTGCCAAGTGGTGCTGAAGTCGAGCTATTACTAAAAATAGTCAAGTGAGAAAAGGGGCCGTGAAGGTCAGATTAAATCGACCTGTTGCACCATTGAGTATATCGAACGCTCCTGTGTTGCAATTGGCCCAATGGATGTGATTTTCCAATATTATTATGCGTTCAAACTTTTAAGGTATTTCGTCTGAAATAAGTATATGTATATTGCATTTCTGTAGAACAATGATTCGCACCCATTTTGAAATTGCCACCTACTATACTGTAAAGCTTCTAGGACATTCACTATAGAACCGGGTCATTGTTGCCGCCAGGGAGTGAAGAGGAAAAACTTTATTTCGCTTTGCGAATAACCGTGCTATGAAATGTCGCACAACTGGAGAATTTCAAGAACGGATATAACACTTTCCTTAGGTTATTTAAAGCGGCAAATGACCACCAAACCTTAATCTTAGCAGACTAATGTGCCAATGAAAATCGTAAACGTGAATTGTTGGTGAAAATGTTGGACCAAAAAGTTTCAATAAAATATATAAAAATTTTGGGCGAGACGAAGTTCGCCGGGTCTGCTAGTTGTATATAAAGAAGAAATCTATATTAATAAAAATGTTGTGTTCGTATGTCACGGTCGTCAATACTTGAGAACGGCTGAACCGATTTGAATAATTTTTTTTTGTATTGTTCAGTATAATACCAGAACCAATGATATCGCAAAAAATTGGAGGGTTGCCACCTATTTGAAATTTTTTAAACCCAAATATATTGATAAAATTAACGAGTTATTACAATATGGGTATTAGGTTAACGAGGTTTAAGAAAGATAACTGTTGGAAATATCTTTGGCGAGGGTTGCCACCTATTTAAAAATTTTAACTCAGTTAAATTAATAAAAGAAATATTGCAATGTGGGTGTCAACCTAAAGACTTTTAAGAAGGCTAACAGCCGAAAATATGTTTGAGGAGGGTTGCCACCTGGTTGAAAATTTAACTCAATTTAAAGATAAGATAAATTACCTATTACAATATAGGTATCAAATTAAAGAGGTGTAAGAAAGATGACGGTTAGAAATATTTTTGAGGAGGGTTACCACCTATTTGAAAATTTTAACTCAGTCAAATTTATAAAATAAATGAAATATCGCCATGTGGGTGTCAAACTAAAGAGTTTTAAGAAGGCTTAAGGCTGAAAATATGTTTTAGGAGGGTTGTCACCTGTTTGAAAATTTAACTAAATTACATTCATAAAATAAATGAAATATTACAATATGGATATCAAGTTAAAGAGGTTTAAGAAACATAACTGTTAGAAATATTTTTGAGGTGGTTGCCACCTATTTAAAAATTGTAACTTAGTTAAATTGATAAAGTAAATGAAATATTGCCACGTGGGCGTCAAACTAAAGAGTTTTAAGAAGGCTACAGCTGAAAATACGTTTGAGGAGGGTTGCCCCCTATTTGAAAATTTAACTCAATTTAATTGATACAATAAATGACATATTACAATATAGGTATCAAATTAAAGGTATTTAAGAAAGATGATTGTTGGAAATATTTTCGGGGAGGTTTGCCACATATTTTAAAATTTTAAAATAAAATAAATGGAATATTGCAATGTGCGTTTCAAACTAAAGATTTTTACGAAGGCTTACGGTCGAAAATGTTTTTGAAGAGGGTTGCAACCT